TCTCCTGTACTGCCCTCACCCTACTGTTTGCACTGCTAGTCGTCTGTCGTCATGGCTACCCCCAGTGTCCTCACTTTTGACGCTAAGGGTCGGGCCATTGACTTTGAGGTCTGGGTAGACGACCTGCAGCTGTTCTTACAGTGCGATAGGGCAGACGGCCTCTCTCTCTTTGACCTCACCTCTGGCGCTTCCCCTGCCCCTGCTGCTGATGCTGACGCCACTGTTCGCTCCCAGTGGGCCACCCGCGACGCTGCTGCACGTCTTGCTGTGCGTCGCCTGTCAAAAGATCTGCACTGTGGATGCCCGATTGATCCTGGAGAGGGTTACAGGCGCGTTCGCCTGGGGGGTTATGGGCGCACCGACCCGTTACTGAAATAAGCCCGTTTATCCCAATGGTTTAGTGGTTGGGATTCTTACATGGTATCAGAGCCGTCTCGGGTTCGATTCCCGGTGTATGCACATGTAGGCCGTTGCCGCTGTGCTTAGTCCTGGGCCTCCCAGTGTGGGGGGGGGTGTCAGTAGATCTGCACTGTGGATGCCCGATTGATCGTGGAGAGGGTTACAGGCGCGTTCGCCTGGGGGGTTATGGGCGCACCAACCCGTTACTGAAACAAGCCCTTTTATCCCAATGGTCTAGTGGTTGGGATTCTGACATCGCCACCTCCCTACCTCCGAGCGTGCGCACTTTAGTCAGTACAAGAGTGCTCAGACCTTGTACGACGCTGTAGTCGCGCGCTACTCCTCCCCTGCCACTGCTGCACTGAGCCGTCTCATGCTACCGTACCTCTTCCCTGACCTTGCTGCCTTTCCCACCGTAGCTGACCTCATTACGCACCTCCGCACTAGTGACACTCGCTACCGCGCTGCACTTCCTTCTGACTTCTGCGCCACGAACCCCCCCCCCATGTATATCACTCTCTACTTCATAGTCACTCGCCTCCCTGACTCCCTTCGAGTAGTCAGGGACCACTTTCTCTCAGTCTGTCCCACCACACTCACTGTCGACCTCCTCGAGAAGGCCCTCCTCGCGATAGAGAAGAGCATAGTCGCTGTAGGAGCCTCTCGAGGTGACCCGCGCACCCCCATCTTTGAGGGGTGTTTCCCCTCCCCCCTGCTGCCCTCTGTTGCCTCTGCTGCTGCGGCCGACCTCCTTGGTCTTGAGTCGGTCGGTGCGGCGTCTGCCCTAGCGGGAGACGCCGCCCTGGCAAGGGCAAGGGGGGAAAGGGAGCTGGAGGAGCGGGCGGTGGAGGTGGAGGTGGAGGCGGTGGGGGGAGTGGGGGTGGCGGTGGGAGTGGAGGTGGGGGTGGGGGGGTCGGTGGCGGCAGTGGAGGCGGAGGCGGCGGCGGCGGTGGCGGTGGGAGCGGAGGTGGCGGAGGAGGCGGCGGTGGAGGCGGCAGCGGGGCGGCAGTAGCCGAGGAGGCGGAGGCGGCGGAGGCGGTGGGGGTGGCGGTGGAGCTGGTCGCGGGTCTTCGCAAAGGAGTGGCTCCGGTGGTGGCTCGCGCCAGCAGCAGCAGCGCGGTCGTGAGACCCTGTCCCCTCAGCAGCTCCGTGAGTGGTACACTGCACGCCAGCAGGGTGGGGGTTTTGGTCCGTGCACCTACGTCCTGCGCACCGGCGACCGTGCGGGTGAGCAGTGTGGGGGTGCGCACCCCACCCAGCGCTGCTTTGGCCGCCTGACGGACGCGTGGCGTCACCAGTTCCCGGAGGCCTCAGAGATCCCTCGCTGGGGCGAGCTGTCTAGGGCGGGTGTTGTCATCTTTGATCTTCACTTTGATGCTATCCTCTCTGCCATGTATGCTGTGTCTATTAGTGATGAGGGTGACTGTTACCGGTGTTTCCCGCCCGATCCGCGCATTGAGACTGCTGCTCTAGGTACTTGTGCGGCTGCTGCCCTAGGTGCTTGCAACGTTGCTGCTCTAGGTGCTAGTGTGTCTGCGTCCTCAGGTACTCGTGAGTCTGCGCTCTCAGGTACTACGTCGGCTTCGGCCTCCCGCACCTTCACCCTTCACTCTGGGGCGTCTCGCTCTTTCTTTCAGGACCGCACCACACTCACGCCGCTCAGTCGGCCGGTTGCGGTGTCTCTGGCTGACCCCTCCGGGGGTCCTCTACTGTCTCGCTTCTCCACAGTCCTCCCGTGTCCGACGGCTCCCTCTGGCACCCTGTCTGGTCTCTACCTTCCCTCGTTCTCGACGAACCTGGTGAGTGGTGCTGACCTACAGGATGCGGGTGTCCACCAGTTCACTCCTGCGCGTCAGCGGGTGACACACTGCACAAAGGCTAGCACAGGCCGACACCTGGCTACGTTCACCCGTCAGCCGGGGTCGAGCCTGTACACTCTGACCACTGCGTCTCCTCCAGTTGCTGAGTCTGGTAGGGTAGCTGCGTCGGGTCAGGTGTTTGTTGCGGCGTCCAGGTCTGGTCCTGAGTATGCCCCCTGCTCGTGTCGTCTCCTTTCTCACGAGACTCTCCTCTGGCACCACCGCCTTGGCCACCCCTCTCTGCTTCGGCTCAGAGGCATGGCCTCTCGTCTCCTTGTGTCTGGTCTCCCCCGGTCCCTCCCTCCCCTTCCTCAGGGCCCTGGCCCTACCTGTGTCCCCTGTGTCGAGGGGCGCCAGCGTGCTGCCCCTCACTCCTCCCAGTTTCCTCCGACAGAGGCCCCATTGCAGACACTTCACATGGACGTGTGGGGCCCAGCCCGCGTCCGTGGACAGGGTCACGAGCGCTACTTCCTGCTCGTTGTTGACGACTACTCGCGTTACACCGCAGTCTTCCCCTTGCGCAGCAAGGGTGATGTCACTGAGGTGCTGATCGACTTGATCCGCGCAGCTCGTCTCCAGCTCAGGCAGAGCTTTGGCTCGGACTTTCCTGTTCTGCGTCTGCACTCGGACAGAGGCGGAGAGTTTTCCTCTGACCTTCTGAGAGCCTACTGTCGAGCACGAGGCATCCGTCAGACACACTGCACGCGCTGCTGCGGCTGTGCGCCCTGCGCTCTGCTCCAAAGCCGCAGCAGCACCTGTCATGCGTGCGGGGTTGGTGCAATAGAGAGAAGGGTGGGTGCTGCTGACCACGCACCCTCCCACATCCCACCGCAAACGAGTCACGACCCCATCCCCAACGCTCGAGACCGGCCAGCCACACGTCCGCGGCCAGGGTGGGTGAGAGGCAGGGGGGGAGGGAGAATGAGAGAGAAGGAAAGGAGGGTGCAAGGGTGGGGTGGAAGGAGTAGAGAAGGTGGCAATGGGGAGAGCAAAAGCGACCAAATGCGGACTGGGAAGGGAAGCAACGAGGAACCTAAAGACGAAAGGCACGGATGAGAGGGTGGGCGACGAGAGTGGAGAAGCGAGGAGAGAGGTGAGAGGGAAGGGAGGTCGGCGGGGAAGGAAATTTCCAGGCGACAGGGAGGACGATGGGAGGGGAAGGAGAAAGTGAGAACGAGAATGAATGAACTATGAAAATGAGTGAGTACAAGTACTAACCCTAATTGGGTTGTACCCCCTATGGGATACCCCATTATAGCCTACACAAATGTATAAGCTATATAGCATTCTGACACACCCCCATAGGAAAAGTGGGGGAGAACAAGGGGTCACAAGACCAGTCAAGCAAAGCAAAGCAAAGCAAAGCAAGCTCAGGGTGGATCTCAAAGTCACCACACAGTCCGAGCACAAGGTCAAGGCCACAAGGCCAGTTCACATGCAAGAGTACACACATATATAAAGCTAGACAAGCAAGAGCAGGTATATATATATGTGACAGTACAAGCAAGGTCAAGAGGTGAGCAAGTGAGGCAAGACGGGCACAAGACCCAGCTGAGTGCAGAAGCGCTGATGATCACAAGGCGCAAGTGCCTTGGTGATGACATCAGCAGTGTTGGCCTCAGAGGCCACGTACGCAAGCCGCAACTGTCCACGCTGCTGCAGCACACGAGCAAGGAAGTAGCGGAGAGCAATGTGCTTTGTTCTGTGCTCCAGTCGCTGCTCTCGACACAAGGCCAGCATGGCCTTGTTGTCTACGTACAGGACTGGAGGAGAACGAGGCGGCTCTCCAAGGTCGGTCAGCAGGTAGGTGAGCCAGCGAAGCTCCTGTGCAGCCATGGCCCCGGCGTAGATCTCAACCTCACAACTGGAGCCGAGAATAGAAGACAAGCGAGTAGCCCGCCACGAAACAGAGCCGGAACCAAGGCTGAAGGTGTAACCCTGTGACGACCGCTGCGTAGCCTGGTCGTCAGCCCAAGAAGCGTCCGCGTGGCCAGTGAGGACCACTGGACTCCGCCCTCCAAGCACTAGCCCCATGCCCGACGTACTGCACAAGTAGCGCAACACCCTCTTCGCTGCAGCCATGTGCTCTGGTCGGTGTCTCCCAGGAGCAACATAGCGTGCGAGAATGCTAAGAGGCATCCGTCAGACCTTCACGCTTCCGGACTCCTACCATCCTCACATCTCCCTTCCTCTCATCCTCCCTACCTCTCATCCCCCCTTCCTCTCATCCCCCCTTCCTCTCATCCCCCCTTCCTCTCATCCTCCCTTCCTCTCATCCTCCCTCCCTTCCACCCAACGCTGTCCTCTCCTGATACTCCCTTCCTTTCTTCCCTTACCCTCTGCAGGGTTTGTTCCCTTACTCTCTGCAGGGTTTGTTCCCTCCCTCCCTGTTTGTATAGGTCTGCTATGTATTCAGTTCAGTGTGATGCATTTGCTGTTTGATGCTATTATCTCAAATGGCCATGCCATGTACTGATGTTGGATGCTTCTTATAATACAAACCTCTCAGCATTGAAGTACACATGACCACTACAAAGAAGTACAATAAAGTGAGACTGTATCTTTCTATGAAGTGGTCAAGGGTGTGTTATAGGCACAATGCACAAAAACAGCAACTGTCTGCTGCAATGCACACAATAAACCTGCAACCCTTGGTGCTGGGCACCTGTACAAGCATGGTTGTGTGAAGGAATGGGGAAGGAAGGGGTTTGGCAAATAAGCAGGAGGTACAGAAGGGCATGTCTAGGAGGAGTTGAACGAAGGGGAATAGAGCGTAAACAGGGGGGAAAGAGGGGCGAGCCCAGGCGGGGAGAAAGTGACCAGGGGGGGAGAGAGTGAGCAGGGGGGGAGAGAGTGCGGCAGGGGGGGGAGAGAGTGCGCAGGGGGGGGAGAGAGGGCGCATGGGGGGAGAGAGTGCGCAGGGGGGGAGAGAGTGCGCAAGGGGGGGAGAGAGTGCGTATGGGGGGAGAGAGTGCGCAGGGGGGGAGAGAGTGCGCAGGGGGGGGAGAGAGTGCGCAGGGGGGGGAGAGAGGGCGCATGGGGGGAGAGAGTGCGCAGGGGGGGGAGAGAGTGCGCAGGGGGGGGAGAGAGTGCGCAAGGGGGGAGAGAGTGCGCAGGGGGGGAGAGAGTGCGCGGGGGGGAGAGAGTGCGCAAGGGGGGAGACAGGGGGGGGAGAGAGTGTGCATGGGGGGAGAGAGTGCGCAGGAGGGGAGAGAGTGCGCAGGGGGGGAGAGAGTGCGCGGGGGGGGAGAGAGTACGCAGGGGGGGAGAGAGTGCGCAGGGGGGGAGAGAGTGCGCAGGGGGGGAGAGAGAGCGCAGGAGGGGAGAAAATGACCAGGGGGAAGCAAGTGAGAGGGGGGAAAGAGGGTGAGCGGGGGGGGAGTGAGTGGGGGAGAGAAGAGTCAGCAGAAGGGCAGAAGGTGAATGGGGGAAGGAGAGAGTGAGCGGTGGGAAGAGAGTGAGTGGGGGGGAAGAAAGCTGGAGAGTAGGGTGGACGAGAAGCGGGACGGACGGGCGGAAGTGATGAGAAAGGACTGGAGGAGAAGGAGGAAGGAATGGAGGGGTGCGAAGGGAGTTACCTGGGAAGCCCGTACGATGGAAGGGAGGAAGAGAGGAAGGGGGAACGAGGAAGGGAGAAGGAGGAAGGAGGTTTTACTTTGTGCGAGAATGTGGGTGAGAGTGAAGCGAAGCGTGGGGGAATGGAGGGGGTACAGACGGGCGATGAGAGGGGTAGAGAATGCGACGGCCAGGAAGGCGAGGGCGATGGGTGGGGGAAGCGAGGGCGACAGGGGGGGGGAGTGAGGGTGACGCGCGGAGGAAGCGAAGGCGACGGGCGGAGGGAGAGAAGGCGACGTGCGGAGGGAGAGAAGGCGACGGGCGGAGGGACAGAAGGCGACGGGCTGATTGACAGAGGCGACGGGCGGATGGAGAGAAGGCGACGGGCTGGGCGAAGACGACGGGCTGGGCGAAGACGACGGGCTGGGCGAAGACGACGGGCTGGGCGAAGACGACGGGCTGAGCGAAGACGACGGGCTGAGCGAAGACGACGGGCTGGGGAACGAAGGCGACGGGCTGGGGAACGAAGGCGACGGGCTGGGGAACGACGGCGACGGGTTGGGGACGCGTATGCTACGACGCGGGCGACGGCAAGGGGAAGCACGGTCTTGGGAAAAGAAAAGCGAGGGCGATGGGAGGCTCACGCTTGGGCGAACGGGTGGCTATTGTATATTCGCCGCGAGTTTTATGAAGCAGCTCCTACTAAATCTGCATGTCGACACCTAATCTCATCGCACGCCGTACACTATCTCTGCACTTCACACTCTTATTCCGTGCTACACACCCTCGTATCGCGCATCTGATCCCTCTCGAGTCAACGCCTGCCTTACAGGTGCTGAAGCTTGTGCCTAAGTAGTTCTGGTTTGCATCCTAAGTTTCTCAAACTGTGCACAGTTTGGTATGCATCTTGGCGGTGTTCGCCAGCACCTTTGAGAATGGAAGAAAATGGAAGGCATTGGACTGGCAACGGCATCAGGAAGCGGGGTCGGAACCCTCCGAAAAGGTTTGGGCGAAATGCCATCGACGAACTTTCCAGCCCCGACATGAGAAACTTCACAACCGCATATGGAACCCCACACCCCACCTTCCTCCGACAGCCAATTACATCGCCTATCCACGGCGGCCCACGTGAAATGGTGGATTGCCACAGGATGGCATGAGACGGGACGTTTGCCTGGGGAGGAAGTCGCGTCCCCATTTCCGAATGCCATGTTTCCTTCCGAAAATTGAGAAAAATGAGAGCGTTCGCCAGGCGCCGCAGATTGCTTTAGGCTCGGACGACATCCTAGCTTCGGCACGAATTTTACGGGCTGACCAGGCTGACGGAGCTTAACGAACCCTAACTGACGGGATCAGGAAGGCGTGACTGACCTTCCTGATCCCGTCGTTTTCGTTTTCAAAAGTGCTGGCGAACACCGCCCTTGTATTCTGGTTGTTGCGGGAAGGACCCCACGACGCATCACTCGTTTTCTTTGAAACGACACAGTTTTCTCGCAAACTGGTTTCGCGAGTGCGCGAGGGTCCACAACCCAACCGAACCTCCGATTGCCTTCCTCCGAACCTAAAAACTTTGGGTTGACTTCCGTTGAGTAATTCAGGTCTTGGGCTTTAAGGAGCGGCAGCAGGGAAACGGAAACCGCCGGTAGATAGCGGGTCGCTAGCTGGTGTGGAGGTTCCCGTACCCGCCACGTCTACCAACGTAGAGGAGACGGCTTTGCAGCAGTCATCTACGGAGAACGAGGTAGACACTGTTGACCGACCAGTCGTGCTTCTAGGGAAGCTTCGTGGAGTTCTTGTTAAGATTCTCGTAGATAGCGGAGCCAGCCACTCGTTCGTCTCTTCTTCATTAGTCATTCGTCTCCATCTTGAAGCAGATTCGGCAGTCAACTTCAAGGACGTGCGTATGGTAGATGGGACGCCACTTCACATAAGACCAGTCATTCGCAAGTTGCGCGTAGTACTAGGACCAATCACGGTTAGGCGTGATTTCGACTCTGCCACACTGGACCTTTACGACTTCATCTTCGGTAGGGATTGGCTACGGACGGTTAGTACTCAGTTCGATTGGGCTCAGGGAAGCTGCAGCGTCAAGGTAGACGGGGAGTTTCGGGAGCTGCCACAGTGGAGCGATGCGGCCACATCCTCCACAGCTATCATTAATGCTGTTCGTGTGCGACAGTTAGTGAAGCGTGCGGCGCGGATCTTTGCGGTTTTCCTTGAGGAGGTGGAAGCTGAGGAGGGGAAAGGAGGGAGTGCAGCAGTTGGTGAGAAGGCGACACTTCCTGCTGAGGTGAGTGCACTATTAGCAGAGTTCGCAGACGTCTTCCCCGACGAGTTGCCCCCAGGGTTACCTCCCAGCCGAGCAGTAGACCATCGAATAGAGTTGGAGCCGGGGAGCAGGCCAGTAGCGAAGCCGCAATGGAGGTTGAGTCCAACAGAGACAAAGGAGATGACGCAGCAGGTTAGGCATTTTCTCGCGAAGGGTTTCATTCAGCCATCTAGATCGCCTTGGGCAGCACCAATCCTTTTCGCACCCAAGAAAGACGGAGGGTTACGGATGTGCATAGATTACCGCGCACTGAACGCCGCCACCGTTAAGAATAGATTCCCAGTGCCGAGGGTAGAGGATCTTCTCGATGCAGTGCAGGGCGCTAGAGTCTTCTCAAAGATCGACCTTCGTTCGGGTTACCACCAGATTCGCGTAGTTCCAGAGGACCAGCACAAGACGGCGTTCCGTACGAAGTAGGGGTTGTACGAGTTTAGGGTTCTACCGTTCGGATTGACCAACGCCCCAGCGATGTTTCAGACGCTCATGAACACCGTCATCTCCGAGTTCCTAGGGTCGTTCGTTGTAGTTTACCTGGACGACATCCTAGTGTTCTCTAAGACGAAGGAGGAGCACGTGCAACACTTGCAGAAGGTCTTTGAGGTCTTGAGGAGGGAGCAGTTGTACGCGAAGCAGTCGAAGTGCGAGTTCTTCCTCCCCGAGGTCGAGTTTCTAGGTCACGTCGTTTCCGCTAGTGGCATTAGGACCGACCCGAAGAAGATCGCAGCAGTACAGGATTGGATAGCACCGACCTCAGTCAAGGAGCTGCAGAGCTTCCTCGGATTCGCAAATTACTACCGCCGTTTCGTTCAGGGTTACGCATCGATCGCTAGTCCACTCACCGACCTACTTCGGAAGGGCGTAGAATACTGTCAGATTATTATAGCTGATGCATGTTTGTAGGCTATAGTGGGGTAGCACATATGGGGTACAGCTTTCTAGGGTTGTATTTGTACCCAACTCTGACTTAGTCATTCTCATTCCTGTTCGCTTATTCTCACATGGTATAGAGCGGGTCCTTCTAAGGACCGTTTTTTTTTGGGCCCACCGAAGCGCGCCCCGAGGCGCGATTTTTTTTAGCGACCCCTCGGGTCGCCTTTTCCCCTGCGGCTCAGCCGCCTCCACTGACGCGGCCCCGCCGCCCTCCCTTACGCGGCCCCGTCGCCGGCTCTCACGCGGCCCCGCCGCCGACTCTGTCGCGGCCCCGCCCCGGCCTTTACGCGGCCCCGCTGCCTGCTCTCACGCGGCCCCGCCCCGGCTCCTACGCGGCCCCGCCCCGGCCTTCACGCGGCCCCGCCGACGGCTCTGTCGCGGCCCCGCCCAGGCTCTTACGCGGCCCCGCCGCCTACTCTAGCGCGGCCCCGCCCCGGCTTTCACGCGGCCCCGCCGACGGCTCTCTCGCGGCCCCGCCCCGGCTCTTCCGTGGCCCCGTCCCGGCTCTTACGCGGCCCCTGCCCCGGCTCTTACGCGGCCCTGCCGCCGGCTCTCTTGCGGCCCCGCCCCGGCTCTCACGTGGCCCCGCCGTCGGCCCTCTCCAGGCCCTGCCGCCGGCTCTCTTACGGCCCCGTCGCCCCGTCACGGCCCAGCCCCGTCGCGGCCCAGCCGCCCCGTCGCGGCCCCGCCCCATCCCGGCCCAGCCGCCCCGTCGCGGCCCGGTCGCCTCCTGACGGCCCCGCCGTCCCTTCGTGACGGCCCCGCCGTCCCTTCCTGACGGCCCCGCCGTCCACTCCTGACGGCCCCGCCGTCCCCTCCTGACGGCTCCTGCCGTCCCCTTCTACCGGCCCCGCAACTGCACCTGCTGGCCCCGCCGCTGCACCTACCGGCCCCCACCACCCCCCCCCCCCCCCCCTTTTCCCGTCGCCTGTCGAGGCGACCTGAGAGGCCAGCAGAGGGGTGGCAGGTGTGTGGCCTCCCCTGCTTCTCCTCCTCCTTCATCTCCCGCTGCAGCAGCCGAGCCGCTCACCTGCAGCAGCCGAGCCGCCCTGCACCCGAGCTGCCGAGCTGCAGTTGCTGCCGAGCCGCCTTGCCGCCGAGCCGCCCGCGTCGCCCGAGCCGCAGAGCCGCCGAGCTGCCGAGCCGCTGAGTCGCCGAGCCTACTCTTCCCACCACTGGTGAGCTCTTGCCCTGCTAGCACGCTGCGCGTCGCCTGCTTGCCTGCCTGCCTTCCTGCTGCTAGTCCTGCTCCTGCTTCTACTTGCGGAGCCAGATGCAGCCCCAGCGACGCCTGCGTGAGTCCCTCACGCCCCAGCAGCTGCGTGAGTGGTACGCTGGTTGGGGCTGTAGGGGTGGCGGCGCTACTCCTACTACCACTCCTGCTGCTTCTACTCGTGGTGGCGGCCAGATGCAGCTCCCGCGACCCTCTCGCGTGTCTCTCACGCCTCGCCAGCTTCGTGAGTGGTACGCTCAGAGTGGGGGGTCTCTCAGTACTGTTCGCTGCTCTTACGTGATTCGCACTGGTACTCGGACTGGTCAGCCTTGTGGGACACCTAGTCATACACAGTCCCGCTGCTTCGCCCGTCTGAGCGACGCCTGGCGTACCGTGTTTGGCGACGAGGCTGAGCTTCCAGACTGGGTGGAGTTGCTTAGGCAGAGGGTAGATATATTTGCTCTTGACTATGATGCTATTCTCACTGCCATGTATGCATTGCCTACTAGTGCTGACCGTGCCGGTCACCTGTGCGTCCCGCCTGACCCAGGTATAGGACCTGCTGCTCTAGCTACTGGTGAGGCTGCTGCTCTGGGTGCTAGTGAGTCTCCTGCTCCAGGTACAGGTGCGGCTGCTGCTCTAGGTGCGAGTGAGTCTGCTTCCTCAGGTGCGGGTGAGGCTGCGCTCTCAGGTACCGCGTTGGCTTCGGCCTCCCTCACCTTTACACTTGACTCTGGGGCTTCTCGCTCCTTCTTTCGGGACCGCACCACACTCACGCCGCTTGGTCGGCCGGTTGCAGTCTCCCTGGCTGACCCCTCTGGGGGTCCTGTCCTCGCTCACTTTTCCACTGTCCTCCCGTGTCCGGCTGCCCCCTCGGGCACCCTGTCTGGCCTGTACCTCCCCTCGTTCTCGACGAACTTGGTGAGTGGTGCAGACCTACAGGATGCGGGGGTTCACCAGTTCACTCCTGCGAGTCAGCGGGTGACCCACTGCACGGACGCACGCACAGGCCGGCACCTGGCCACGTTCTCGCGTCGGCCGGGGTCGAGCCTCTACACCCTGACCACTGAGTCTCCTCCTGTCCCCGCGTCCGGTCAGGTAGCAGCGTCGGGTAAGATGTTTGCTGCTGCGTCCCGGTCTGGTCCTGAGTCTGCCCCCTGTTCGTGTCGCCTCCTGTCTCACGAGACTCTCCTGTGGCACCACCGTCTTGGCCACCCCTCCTTGCCCCGTCTTCGGGGCATGGCTTCCCGTGTCCTTGTCTCTGGTCTTCCCCAGTCTCTCCCTCCCCTTCCTTCGGGACCAGGACCTTCCTGTGTCCCCTGTGTCG